GCACCCTATACATATTTCAACATTGTTTAGAAAGAGTATTAAAAGTTTTGTCACTGCACAAGAAAAGAGACTAAAGTTTATTAGTGGTTACCAGGGACAGGAGGGAGGGGGAAATGGAGGGTTAACAGCGGAAAAAAATCACATTGATTAAGGGTAGGGTTGCAAAGCCAATTATTGTAATTGCTGTCAATAAGTTATATACCTATAAAAAGTTGAATTGGCAAAAGTTGTACAATAGATATATTTACAAAAATGACAAAAAAAAAGAGCAGCTGCTGAGGCTGCTTATGTGCAACCAAAAACCTCATGGGATTTGATTCCTTGGTTTGGAGGTTTAAGGTCATGGTTTCATGGAACATTTCAGTTAACCGGCCTAATAACAAACGTGCTTAGTGCTTTTGTTCTACCTCCTAGTTCATTGTGTAGTGCCTGGGGTCTCGAAAGCTTGCAAGTGGCCACCCAATGCACAATTGGTCTCTTTGCCTGGAGCAACAAAGGAAGAAGAGAGTCAGGAATAGGAGGAGGATATGGAATGTGTATCTAATTGCCTCCGTGAACAAATGCCACCTTTGCCATGAATCCAAAAGAACTGGATGGTGCCCGGCTACCATTACTGGCCATTTTGATCAAGGATTCTATAGGAATCTAAAGGGGGGAAAAGCAGAATAGAATTTCAAATTTTCATGGAATCCAGACTTTCTGGAGCCATGAAGGCTGGATGAACCCTGAAACTATTGCCCTGAAATATCTTTAAACCTTAAACCAAAAATATCCCCTAAAGTCTTCTTAAAACCAAACAATAGTTTAACTAGTAAAAATGTCAGCCTTGAGCACTATGTTCTTTAAAGATCTATCTATATGAAATCAAATGGACAACAGCAACTCAAAGGATTAGAGAGGAACCTCAGGGGGGCAGTGAGTTTATGTTAATGGGGGAGGAACAACTCAGAAAAGCAGGGTGAGAATGGTTGCACAACTCAAAGAATGTAATCAATGTCACTGAATGGTACACGTAGAAACTGTTGAACTGGTGTATGTTTTGCTGTGTATATTCTCAACAACAACAACAGCAAAATTAAAAAAAAGTTTTGTCACTGCAAACAGTTGCTAACAAGTAGTCTTCATTGTAGAGATTTGGGGGATTGCATTAGGATATATATGACCATCACTTCTTAAAACTAGTATCTGTACAGGGCTTCCTCATTATGTTATTTCATCTTTATAACACCAGGCACTAGGTAGGACAGACATCATTAGCTCCATTTCTTGGAGTAGAGAACTCAGGTTCAGAGATGTTAACTGATTTGCACAAAGTGACACAGAAAGTGGCAGAGATTGACCTCAGGTGTCCCAAGTGCTGACTGCATGGCAGGCACACGTGCTAACTGTGTATGCAGATCTGTATTTAAAATCTTCTGCAAAAGTATAAAATTACAAGACAATACATTTGTTCCAAGGCTGCATGAGAGAGGCGAGGAAGTTATTTTATCTCAACCAGGTTTTGCTACTCCACTCCCACTGTTTCTACAGGTATTCCACACGGTGCTGGGTTGCTATTTCAGAGTCCAGGCTAGTCAGAAACATCACCCAGCTTTCTTATTTTCAGTTTTGTTTTCTATTGCATAATTTTTGGGGACTACCCGTTGCCATCGAGCTGATTCTGAGTTATAGTGACACTATAGGACACAGTAGAACTGCCCCATAGGGTTTCCAAGGCTGTAAATCTTCATGGAAGCAGACTGCCACGTCTTTCTCCCGCAGAGCAGCTGGTGGGTTCAAACCACTGACTTCTGGTTAACAGCCAAGCACTTAACCACTGTGCCACCAGGGCTCCTTTCTTGTGGATAGGATGCCAAAATAGGACCTGAAGTTATCACTGAAGTGAAGCGCAGAGATTCTTATTTTGATATCCATCTGCTATAGTCAGGAAAAGGCAAAATGAACTAACACAACCAAAATGGGGTCTTGAAAATTTTCTGGGACTTTGTGACACGTCTGTTGTTGTTGTTAGGTGCCTTGAGTCGATTCCGACTCATGGCGACCCCATGTGACAGACTAGAACTGCTCCTTAAGGTTTTCACGGCTGTAATCTGTCTTGGAAGAAGTACAGCCAGAACGCTCCTTAGAAGTGAGGATGGCAAGATCTAGTCTCACTTACGTTGGTCAGGTTATCAGGTGGGACCAATCCCTGGAAAAGGACATCATGCTTGGTAGAGGGTCAGCGAAAAAGAGGAAGATGCTCAACAAGATGGACTGACATAGTGGCTGCTTAAACACAGCAGCAACTTGCCCTCACTTGTAAACTTGCCCTCACTTTGAAACGAATGAACCAACTCTACTTGCAACAAATTCTTCATCACAAGCCCCTTCACTTGCTGCACGTGCAGCTTTTAAAACCACTGGACAGGCTTCGAGGCTTTTCTTGTACTAAAGTAAGGTTAAATGAGAACCATATACACCTGTTCTGACTTACCTACAAATTCGACTTAAAGACACACTCAGGAATGGATCTCGTTCGTAACCCGGGGACTGCCTGTACGTAGGGTCACTATGAGTTGGAACCAACTTGATGGCACCTAACTACAACAACAACAATCTTTATGGGAGCAGATTATCAGGTCTTTCTACCAAGGAGCCACTGGGTGGGTTCGAACTATCAACCTTTCGGTTGGCAGCTGAGCGCTTAACCATTGTGCCACCAGGGCTCCTAACTTGCTGTCTACCGCTAACAAACTCTGAGGCAATTCCCTTTTTTTTAAAAAAATGCAGTATCACCCAAATTAAACTTTAAAGTTTAGAGAATTTTCTCCTTTCTAAGTACTGCATTCAAATACTCTCTCATCAAAAGCTAACCATCATGGCACGTTTAAATGACTGCTCATTTGTATTAGAGAAAAAGAATGGTAAATGATCCTATTCGCTGTAATTGTAAAGGCTGTTCTTAAATCCTTGACAAGGGTGTGTTGATGTTATGCAAGCCAGCACCACCTTTACTCATTTCTGTGTGGGTTCAGCTGACAGTGAGCACAGTGCATTTTGGACTAGGAAGACTCTGGATTGAGTTCCTCATTTACCACGGAGAAGCTCTGTGGCTTTAGGTTATTTTCTTATCTTTAAAATAGAGATAACCACTCTGGCCTGCCAAAGAGTGTGGACATTAGTTTATGTCAAAAAGTTCTGCCCAATGAAAAATACAGATGTTATTTGTTGTTATTGTGAAATCCTACATGGAGAATGATGCCATACACTTTGTCATCTCCAGATGCAAGAACACAGCTGAATACATAACATAAGCATAGCCTCCCTCAAGCAGATGGTGGCAACTGTATTAACAGTCTCTACTCAAAAGAAGATGTTGTTGTTAGGTGCAATCGAGTCGACGCTGACTCACAGCGACCCCATGTGACAGAACAGAACAGAACTTCCCCATAGGGTTTCTTAGGCTGTAATCTTTATGGGAGCAGATTGCCAGGTCTTTCTCCTGGGGAGCCACTAGGTGGATTCAGAATCCCAACCTTTCGGTTAGTAGCCAAGCACTTAACTGTTTGCGCCACCAGGGCTCCTTCCAAATAAAATACACATGCAGAAATAGACATTTCGGCAAGTGGTTATTTAATATATTTTTTTCTTTTTTAAAATATCAGTAATCCTGTGCTTGGCAATAGCAGACTTTTAAGCATATTCTTCACTAATTCAACAGAAAAAAAAAGTCACTAGGTCTGAGATCCAGCACAATTTGCCCATTTCAAAGGGTGTCAGCAATTCCCGAGGCTCAGTGGGGAAGAGGGGTCAGAGAAGGAATGGTGGAAGCGTGCAGAAAAGAAGCCTGTTAGACCCTGATTAGGTCAAGAATCTTGATATCCTGTGTTTCTGTGTGTGTCTGTACGCCCCATCTTAGCCAGGCTTTACCCTTGCAAAGACAGAGGTAAAAAGAAGATATTTTATGAAATGGAACCATCGAATTTTAGCCTTAAGTCTTTTACTAACTAACTAGCTAACTAACTAACCCATTGCTATCGAGTCAGTTCTGGCTGTGGCAACCCCGTGTGCTGTAGTGTAGAACTCTGACCCATACTGCTTTCATGGCTGTGACCTTTTGGAAGCAGATCACCAGGGCTTTCTTCCGATACACCTCTGGATGGGCTCCAACCACCAATCTTTTGCTTAGCAGCCCAACGCTTAACTGTTTGCACCACCCAAGACGTCTAGCTTTTGTTTATTGGGATCCTGCCTTACGTATGTCAGTGACTCACCTGGGCCCCACCCCAGAGATTCAGATGTACTAATTGCTAGGAGCCCTGGTGGTGCAATGGTTAAGCATTGGCTGTTAAGTGAAAAGCTGGCATTTCAAACCCATCCAGAAGCTCCTCAGGAGGAAGACCTGGTGATCTGTTTCTGTAAGGATTACAGCCTAGAAGATCCTATGGGGCAGTTCTACTCTGTCACAGGGGGTTGCTATGAGTCAGAATCGATTCAACGGCACCCAACAACAACAAGTCTTCTGATACGCAGCCAGGACTGGAACTACTGATGTAGACCCTTCTGAAGTCCAAGAAGACAGCTGCACCTCTTCCATTAGGACCGAGTATCATTACTTTAAGGAGTCCTGGTGGCACAGTGGTTAAGCGCTCAGCTGCTAACCAGGAGGTCAGTGGATAGAACCCACAAGCCACTCTGTGGGAGAAAGACGTGGTGATCTGCTTCCGTAAAGATTATAGTCAAGAAAACCCTATGGGGGCAGTTCTGTCGCATGGGGTCACCAGGAGCTGGAATGGACTCGACGGCAATGGGCACCGTTACTTTGGAACTGGTGGTCACTCGGCCAATGCAGAGTTTGGGTCATCTTAGCGTATCTCCCCATGATACTCAGTTATTGGCTTTCTTCTCTCTGAATTTTTCTTCAAGCATTTGGTAATTTCTAGTCCCAATAAACCCAAAGATGGGAGCCGATAGTGTATTTTTAGGATAATTATCCCAATGTTTATTTTTATAAACGATACCTTATTCTTTCCTTCGATTACTGCCATGCGCTGAGTGATGCTTTCAATCCTGTTTCCCACGCTGCTGTCAGGAGCCAGGATAATGGACTCTTCATTACTGGAACAAAAGTCAGACCTAATCCAAAAAAAAAAAAGTAAGTCATCATCACAATGTTGCTTCGCACCACCACCCAGCCAGTGAGTGGTGACCCATAAAACCTGTTGCTATTGAGTTGATTTTCGACCCATAGTGACGCTATAGGATGGCGTAGAACTGCCCCATAGGGTTTCCAAGGCTGTCATCGTTAGGGAAGCAGACTGCCACATCTTTCTCCCACAGAGTGGCTGGTGGATTTGAACTGTGCTTAACCACTGCATCACCAGGGCTCCTGCCCACGGTGACCAGTGGATGAAGACCACTGGCTAAGTCCTCAGATAACAAAGCAACACATTTTATCAGACACTTCTTTTCCTTAGATTTTTCCCTATGCCTATTCTCAAAACTTAAAACATAGCAAATATATTTGCCTGATATGAAAAAAGCCCACACCAGTGTGTCTCCATGCATACTTCCTGTTCTACATGTCAACTATTAAACATTAGAAAACATAATATCTAGATTCTAATTAGTTCCTAGTGGAAGAAACACGCAAACACAGAAAAAAAAAATTATGGTAATGAATGGAAACCTTGAGGAAATAAGCATTTCCCATCTATAAAAGGCTGGCTTTTAATCAGAATATTCAGTTGTAGAGATAATTTTTTTCCCAGGGCTAATATGAAAACGGACATCACGGAGTGCTTCCTAATTTCAGTTTATTTCTTTTCAAGTTGGGGGACACATGGCAAGCCCTTTAATTTCTCAGGTCTTAACTGTTTAATTGTAAAATGAGGGAGTTGAAGTTGTTTACCTTAAAGGTCCTTTTTGTCTGTAAAATCCATGAAATCTTAGAACTAACCAATAGAGTACCATTTTATGAGTGGTGAAGAGAGATTTTGACTTATAACTGGGAGTTGACATGTTCTTTCAAAGACATTTTGTTATCAGTAGGCTTCTGTTTTCATATGGTTTACTACTCAAATCATTGGCTATGCATTGATCACTTATTATGTTTTATATGTATCCTAGGTTCTGTTGTCGGACGCCATCGAGTCAACTGCAACTCATAGCGACCCCATATGACAGAGTAGAACTGCCCCATAGGGTTTCCTAGGCTGTCATCTTTACAGGAGCAGATTGCCAGTTCTTTCTCCCATGGAGTCACTGGGTGGGTTCGAACCACCAAACTTACAGCAGCTGAGTGTTTAGCCATTGTGCCATGAGGACTTTCTAGGTTCTACCTGAGTAAAAAACTCCAACAACAAAAAACACTTTTCCACCCTTCCCTGGACATAGCAGTCACTTCTTAAGTGGCCTGGCTGCCATCTGCCTTTTCCCACTCTAATACCTATAAAACTGCTGCCAGATTCACCTCCTAAAAGTTCCGATTTTTGGTGGCATCCTCTCTGTTCCAAAAGCTTTGCCAGCTATACAGAAGACAGCCCAGGCTTCTTTGTGTGACATTGAATGGTGGTTTGAGTCTACCCAGAGGCACCTCAAAAGAAAGTCCTGGTGATCTGCTTTTGAAAGGTCACAGCCATTGAAAACTCTATGGAGCACAGTTCTACCCTGACACACGCGGGGTCGCCATGAGTCACCATCGACTTTGGCTTCAGCTAGGTTTTTTTGTTTAGGCAGCCCTCACCCCAGCATCCTCTCCCCCAAGACTGATCTTCTCTAAGAAGCTTCTTCTGCCCACTGTGAACACTCAATAGCACTCACAGTCTGAACCACACCAGGAGCCCTGAGCAGCTGGGCCTTAACTTGTACCGTGATTTGCATTTCCCTGCCCTGGCCACATCAGCAGTACGCCGCCCAGAGCCTCGCATCGCCTCACACACACTGCATGTGCTCGGTGAATGGACACTCCAGAGGATCTGCTTTTCTACTATTTATCACAGAATGAATAGACTCCTTTAAAGCAGACTTTTATTTAATTTCCAATTTAAATATGATTAATTGGGACACAATGCAACTGTACCAAGAGATATTTTAAGTGCTCAAATAAGTCTCCTTGGAAAAAAGACCAGACTTACTGGCCTGACAGAGACTGGAGAAACCCTAAGAGTATGACCCCCAAACACTCTTTTAGCTCAGTAATGAAGTCACTCCTGAGGTTTACCCTTCAGCCAAAGATTAGACAGGCCCATAAAACAAAACGAGACTAAAGAGACGCACCAGCCCAGGGGCAAGGACTAAGAAGGCAGGAGGAGACAGGAAAGCTGCTAATAGGGAACCCAAGGTCAACAAGGAAGAGTGTTGACATGTAGTGGGGTTGGCAACCAACGTCTAAAACAATGTGTGTACTAACTGTTTAATGAGAAGCTAGTTTGTTCTATAAACCTTCCTCTAAAGTACAATTTAAAAAAAAGTCTCTGTGGGCTCTGCAGGTTAGCATCCTGTGCAAGCCGAAGGTGAGGTGTGATGATGCCCACAGTCACTGTGGGCTGTGCAGGTTGGCATCCAGTGCAAACGGGAAGATGACGCATGAAGTGCCCAGAGGTTTCCTGGCTGGAACTTGCAGCCTCCGTGGCCATCCCTTCTTCCTCCTGACCACCTTCAGAGACTGTTTATTTCTACATCTCCCTTCTAGATGCAGCTCTCCTCCACTGTTCCAGCCCAAAGGGTGAGAGCCTGCACTTCAGGGAAGCAGCTGCTTTTGTGACTCCTTGCACCATCAACATCTCCTCTCCGCATTTTGCAGTCTTACCCTCTGGACTAGAACTTTTGGTGAGTGGAAAGCATGCTGGGCTTTAATTCGTACATGTCCTCGGCAAGTTCTGGAGGTGTTCAAACCAGGAGGGATTTCAAAGCCCACTTTCCAGAAAGAATGAGTGGTTGATCTTTAATAGCCAGGGGCAGCAATGTCTTTTGTGAGATGAGAGGGACAGGATAAAGTTAGTGAGGAAAAGGCAACGTGGAATGGACTGTGAAGATCAGGGCAAGGTTCTGTTAGTACCCTCCGTGGTCCGGGCGCTGAGAAGGGACTCCACAATGTTAAACCATCCAAGTGGGCTGGATCTGGGTGAGGGCCCACCCTGTAGTGCTCCTGGGTGCACTGCCCTGCAGTGTCCTCCCCAGCGCACTCGTCACCTTGGAAATGACTGCTGAGCTCTCAGGAGGACCCTCCCCATCATGGCCGACAGCTAGAGGAAAAAGGGGCCACATCTACTCACTCACTCTGCGTCCTCATTGCTAGGGGTTTAGCATGTAATTGGCACTCTATAAGCATTTGTAAAAGGAGCCCTGGTGGCGAAATGGTTAAGTGCTCGACTGTTAACCGAAAGGTCAGTAGTTTAAACCCACCAGCCACTGTGCGGGAGGAAAGACCTGGCAGTCTGCTTCAGTAAAGATGACAGCCTAGGAAGCCCCATGGGGCAGTTCTACTCTGTCACATGGGGTTGCTATGAGTTGGAATTGACAGCACCCGACAACAACAACAAGCATTTGTAAACATATATACAGGCCTGTATGTTGTTTCTAGGAAAAGTTTTCCTTTGCGTTGCTTTAATTGTTTATTATCTTCATCTGTGCTCATGAGTAGGGACCATAATGTAATAAACCTCCCTATACCCGTCATCCAGATTTTACAGTTCTCAAGACTTTGCCCCATTTGCTTCATCTACCCCTTATTTCTTTTATGTCCTTTCTCTTGTGAGATATTTTAAAGCAAACTCCAAACATCATGTGATTTTAACCCTACATTCTTCAGTATGCATGTCTAAAAAATATGCACATTTTCTAACATAACCACAATGCCATTGTTAAATCTAACAAAATTAGCAATAATTCCGTGGTGGTGTTGGTACTTAGTCCATACATGAGATTTCTTCAAATGTCTTAAAAATGGTTTGTTTTTTTTTTACAGTTAGATTATAAGATTTAAAATAAGAAAGAATTCATAAGGACTGACCAGTCCTTAAGGAATTTCTGCCATTCCTACTAGTTACTCCTTATGATCATCAAGTAAAATAAGTGAGCATTTTAACCCTTATTGGGTAGTAGAGGAAAATGAAGCCAAGAGGAATTATACACTTTTCCCTTTATTTGAAATATTTTAATGATAAATCACCATAGAAAGGTCACTTTGCCCAATGTTTCATTATCAATATTCTCCCTTCTCTAGACTGTAACATCTGTACCTTGAACTATTATTTGACCTCACATCTTTCACAACACACTCGGTACACGTATGAGTGTAAATAATGTTCAAGTGTAAGGAGACCTGGTGGCGTGAATGGTTAAGCACTTGACTGCTATCTGAAAGGCTGGTAGTTCACACCACCCAGTGGCTCTGCGGAAGAAAGACCTGGTGATCTGCTCCCATGAAGATTACAGCCTAGGAAACTCTCTGCGGTAGTTCTCCTCTGTCACATGGGGTCGCTATGAATCGGAATCAACTTGATGGCGCCTGACAATAACATACATATGTGTGCACCTATATTTACACGTGCTTGTATACTTGGTAGTCTGACATCAAACAGCTGGAGTTCCCTTATATGCGTAAGAGAAGCCTTTGGATATCACCCCAAGCGGGGAAATAAATAGGGGAGCCTTAGCCCAAGATCTCAATTTCATATTCTTGGTTTTCAGGAAATGCAAAAAAATATGTTAGGGTAAATCAAGTCTAAAAGTTTCCCCAGGGAAATACAGTCTGCTGTCCAAGTTCACTTGAGGCTGTCACCCTCTGACACCCCCTACCCATAACTCTAAGGGGCAGTCACTGATGGCATCAGGCTAGTAGTAAAACTGTAGGCTAGGTTTCCTGAAAGGGCCCCCAAATGAAAAGGACAGATTCTAGTTTTAACCATTTACATTTATTTAGGGGGCTATTTTTTCCCTCTTTGTCATTGGAACCATAAAAATAGAATGTCATTTAGGAGCCTGGCTATATAAGAGCACTTGAAAAGAGATTTAGGGGGAGGGGAACTTGCCTAAGCCTTAAGAATACATCAAGCTCCTAAGGAAGTAGATTGTGCCATGTTTGAAGATGCAAAGATAATCACTCTGCTGGGAACCGTCTTGAGGGGGGAAGA